TGAAGTAAAAGTGAAACTTTCGATCCAGAAGGACAGATTGATGGTACCAATGATCATTCCAATCTACCTCTTCATTGGGTTTCAGTGAGACCACTTTGGATAACTTGATCAGTTAGTTTCTCCCATAAACTTGGTATTAATTCAAGTCGATGAAGATGCAATTGTAGGAGAGAGCATTAGAGTACAGGAGTAAAAATCATGAAAAACCATACCTTTATCTCATCAGCCATTGAAGTAATCATATCCAACAAAACCATCTAAGTCAATTTCAGGTACCACAAGTCCATCAAACTTTTTCTCCAATTTACCACCACTTTGATCTTCTACAATTCCTTGAATTTGATTAGTAACTAAAATCAATTCATCAAGATCAAAATTATGTGATAAATTTGAACAACTTTTGAATTTAGTAAGGTGTGACTTGAGCTGAAGTATGAAAGAATGATCCAGCCGGTTTAGTAGGCATCTTGATTTTTCCTCTTTGTATGTTGTTCCAAAAAGTGTAGATGTAAGTTGCTGACAAAAAAATTGAGCAGAAATAAATTGTAACCGGTAGATTGAGTATGAGCCTTGAAGTCTTGATGAATTGATTGAAGAACAAACAAAGATGGGAACCGTGACTCTCTGCGCGCTATGAGTCGCTATGTGGTGCCATGGCGCTACATGCTTGTGGGCGCTGTGACACCGCATAGCACTGCGGAACTGCGCTATAGAGTGCGGATGAAAAAACCGCTATCTTGATGGGTGGCGGGGCCATAGCTATAGCGGGGGTCATGGACCCGCTATCCGGTGAAACCCATAGCGCGGGCGGGGCGGGCGCTTCTCTATTGCTGCGCTGCCGCTATCCCGGGCGGAGCGCCGGTGGCGTTGACAGCCCTAGTTATTACTACCTGAATTGGACACGCCAGCAAGCATGTAAAATCACAATTTTCATTAGGACTAATGGGAAAAGGGACAAATAACAGATATGAAAAGAATAGAAGAATGTAAACTCATCTTTTAATACAGATTATTCTTCTTCAGAAGGGTCACCATAGGCTCAGCCAATGGAAGGCCATTGTGATGCCATGCAACTAACTCTAAGGGCAAATTTTGGACTACACAAGTCCAATCTTTCTTGATGTAGGTGACCAATGCACCAATGAATGCATGCAAGTTTCCCTTCACAGTCCAAACGTCTTGGATCAAGCAAAACTTGCTATCTAGGTTCTGGAGAAAAAGAAAGGAAGTGAGAGAAATTGAGTAAGTCAAAATGGAAGACTGAATATAAAAGGATGTAAAAAATTATGCTGACCTTGAGTTCCTGTTTGATCACCAAGTCTCGGAGTGGAAGATATAATTGTCTTGCTTCCTCTGCTGACCATTTTTGACCATAGACATGTGCTTTCGGACACAACCAATACATAATGGACTCCAGGATCGGGTTGTTGATTTGTTTGAATGGCAAAGTGTCAATAAGGAAGCTTATTGAGCAAGGAAATAACCGTGTAATAGTTTATATAGAACTGTTACAGGTTAATTACATATGATTTACATATGTAGGACAGCAGTTGACAATAGTAATCAAGAGAGAGATAGCAGAATAAAGACAAGATCCGTGGATACTAACACTAAAAGGGCTTATAAGGGACTTGTAAGGGCTTTTGGAGGTTGTTATGGACGGATTGATTGGTTTATAAAGCTTGGTAAACTTGATTGGTTATTGTAAAGGATGAGGAACAAAAGAAATAAGACAAAGGCAAGGGTTTATATACCCATCAGAACAAGCAGAAAGTGCACAGAAACATAAGAAAATGCAAATAAGGAGGCTAATGTGAACATCTCCTGTTTACAACTGATCAATGATCCATAGATGATCACATATGATCATTACAACAAGATCTGCGCATGTAATGATCTACTTTTTAGTATTACTGATCTTTAATTCCCATGATCCCTGATTCACCCTTGTAATTCATTCTATTACAACCCTTCCTTGTAGCACGAGAGCCCTAGACCTCCCTTCTTGGCGGACATCACATGCCAAGAAGATCAGTTTTAGATGAACAGCTACTAAGTTGGGTTCCCAATCCAACTTAATCGCTTGAACTAGGACGTGGTTATTAGAAAGATTATCATAAAACAAATCACTTTAGGATCATCTTCCAAACTGATCCGTGAGTATTTTGTTTATTGAATATTGACCATCTTTTGAATACACAAAAATAGAGAAAAATAGAAACTGAATTGAGTTTAAGAGAAAGTGATAAGTGAAAAAAGAATAGTAGAAATAAAGTACTATGTGTATTACTCGTGTAATTGATGATTACATGTTTTTAACTTCATGTAATCATTTGTTACGAGTTCTTTCAGCTTATTACTACATGTGATTGTTGAATTACATGTAGTTATATGTATGTAATAAGGTTTGACTGTGAGGAAGGAGATATACGGCTATGTCGGTGTATGCCCTTCCTGACACAAAGCCTAGGCAACTTGCCAAACCGCCAAACACTGATTTAAAGTGTGATTTGAAAACTTGGGTGCTGCGGTGACAAAAGACACCAGCAAGCTTCAATGCTCTTCCTGTTGACATTGGATACACAGAAAAGTTTGGTGGGAGGGAGATTGGCACCAGCCGCTATCGCCTGTTCACGCCAAGGACATCCAGCACCCGACTTACCAACCTGTTTGTTCCCATCTCAGTGGGACTTAAGATTGGATCAACAAGAGCTTGCACTGACTCGAACCACCTTCCTACACCAGAGGCATGGGTAGGATAGGCCAGGTTGGTTGTGTGGCTACAATTGTCAGATGATATCAGTGAATGAAATCAAATCACGGAATGAAATTGAAGGAAACAAAGAAATTAAATAAAGAGATGAAATCAAAAGAGAAATCAAATAAAGAGATGAAATTGAAAGAGATGAAACAGATTAGAATAGAAAAAACATACATCATTTTCTTTATGGAAGGGAGGACCAAAATGAGTGTATGGAAAATCATGCTCCTCAGGGACAGGCTGGTTATGTTTCCTTTTCCTGAGACGTTCATTAGCTTCATCTGAGTCTTGTGCCAAGTCCACTTTGGGTGGACCTGGAGGTGGTAACTGTGGATGATAGAAGAGTTGCGATTGGAAAATCAATAAATACAATAGAATGATAGATGATTCAAAACATCACTTACCTGCCAACCTCTTGACAAAGTTGAAGGTCTGTTTTCCATTCCGTAATTTGAAAAAGAAACTGAGCGGGCTTGATTGGTCACGGCGCCTGGAATTCATAAAAGGCTATGAGGATATTGATTAGTATTGTGATTGGACCAGGTGCATGATAGATGTATCAGTAAGAATAGCTTACAGTGGATGAAAGATGTAAACCTGTAATCAATTTACCATGAGGTAGTTCACGAGGTGGTGAATTACCTGGTAACGAGGCCGATTGCTCACATTGTCGGTGAACGTGAGCGTCCCTCACATCTCAGACTCCATCAAAAATACCACGACGAGAATCCAAAGGAGTGGTAATCATACCGGGTACTCTTCTAGCCAGCGTAATCATACGACCAGAGCGTCTAGGAGGAGCACGACCATTATCGGTCTTGTATCCAGAGGACACAAAAGAATCAAGGGTGGGTTGTTGAGACATGGCTGGTTTGATTAATACAATTGAAGAAGACAGATGAGTTTGATAGATGGGTTGGAGAAAGATTGAAGTATTTGATTAAGACACAGGTCAGTCAAGATCAATAAAAAAGATAACGATAATCAATTGGGATAAAAAAATGAGGAAAGATGTGGACCTTTGTACCACCATAGCCAACCCTCTTTCAACAACCACCATAGTTCAAGAAATGATATCGATATCCCACCGGATCCATATCCATTAACGTGCGCCATGAATGAATGCCACACTCAATTGATTGATTGATTGATTGAACTTGTATATGATCAGATGATCTAATCTGAGAGGTGTTTGGCATCACAGAATTGGATGGGAGTATGTATGATAATTCAAAACTTTGGTGGCTTGAGGGCTTGAGGTAAGATGATCAGACTTCTTGTATCCAAAGCTTGAAAGTAGCGTGACCACGCTCGAGGCTGATACAGTGGCGGAAAGCGCGACAGGTAAAATCCCGGCTGAAAAAGGTCAGCACGGGGCGTAGCTACCCGGATTTTGTGAGTCCCAGGTAAGGAGGCAACAGCACCGTTCTGCGCTAGCCAGATTTGCTTATTCTACTGTTTTTCATTCTCATCCTAGATATTAGACCACAAATTTTGTTTGATACAAGATATTTTGACAGTGAAAGGTAATCTGCCCACATTCATTGGTGCCTCAATCTTGTAAATCAAGAAGATTTGAGCTAAATAGTTCAACACTTGAGCTTGAAGCTTGTTGTGTAAGATTTTAAGACAGAATAAACTTTATCAAAAGATGAGTTTTATCATAATTTTTTCCTTTGATTTGAATTTTGTCATTGCATAGTCTTAACATACTTCATGCTATCACATGCTAGCTGGGGTTTCTGATTCAGGATTCAGGAAGCAACAATCTGACTCTAGGACGCCAAAGGTGACATCAACTCTGCAACAAAGTATTGAAGTCAGGGCATCACTTTGCTTGAAATCCAAAATTTATGTCCGTTAGGTGTGTCTGTCACAAGATGAGATCAACCATAAAAGCTGGACTTGATGCACTTGGAGTGAAGCCCAGGTGCATTTGATATAGCGGCTTGGGTTGATTTCCATTGGTGGAAGTGATGGAAATTATTGTGCGTGTTTTGGTCTTTGTTAGTTGATCTACATAAGAAGGTAATACTTTGTATTACTTTAGAGAGTATTGAGATCTGATAAAATTCCATGTGATCTTTCAAGTTTTGTACAAATGAAACTTGTTCATCTTAAGAAACTGTTTTAAATTAACCATCTGTATTATGTCATCAAGATCACTTTATTTGTTTCTTCATTGATACCAAGATGGTTTGAAACAGACTCCAAGTTGCCTTTCTAACCACTCAATCTAATCCTTTTACGAACTGCTCATGCTTTGCAGAAAAACAAGGAATGTGCTCAATTATAAAACGAAGTATATGAGGACTATCTGTGAAGTATATATCAACAATGAATGAACTTTGATTTGTAAGAAGGGTGTTGAAGAAATTCACAAAAGAGAAAGAAACTTTGATTCTTTGAAATAAGATATTGTCAATGTGATAGATGAGGAAGTTCTGATGGATAAAGAGGTAATTATGAAATCTTGATTGAATGGACTATACAGATTTAGATAACCGCTCAAAAGATTCGGATCAAGTTAACTTGCCAATGGTTTGATAAGATTAAATGATAAGTGGAAAACCCTTTCATGAATTTGTAAAACATCATATCAGGAGGATGATACCGACATAGTCTTTTGATCTTCAAAAGTAATAGCTCGTGATGAATCAGAACAGGTTTCCGAACCGCTTGATGAACCGCTTGATGAACCGCTTTGAGCGGTGGAATGAGTAAGGAATATAATTCTGGAATAAGAGCATGAGATGTTTAGTATGAGATAATAATTGATTTAAATCTGACATAGACTTTTAAAGATCCTACTCACATATTTCCGGTGATTGCCAAGATCCCATCGATTCCCTAACCCATTTCCAAAATATACCATCAAAAAAATCCTTTGGTTAGTTAAAACATTCGGATATATCTGATTTTAAATTACGCACCAAAATGATCATAGTCCACCACAATGAATCATAAATAAAACTATAGCTTTGGAATTCCAACTAATGATAACTTTATAAGTGATCCTAGCCTCAAAACATCATCATGAAAACTCTACTTACCGTCCAAATCAGAATAGGCACATTCCATAGCGTAGAGGTGAATGCCAAGAAAGAATGGATGACCACTGATCCTTTCTGACTTCTAACTGAAGCAGTCGTCTTACCGCTTTGATTCATTCCTTTGAACGTATGTAGAAGGATTGGAGGGTAAGCCTGATTTCAAGAAATTAAGGATCTATATTAGTAACACCTCTTTGCTTTTCTTTCTTCAACACCCACTACACTCACTATACACAGGATCGAAGCACTAATCAGGTAACAGAAGATCACAATCCGAAACGGAACTACAAGTGAATCCTATTGAATTTCAAAGGGTTTTGATCGTGGTGGGTTTCTTGTTAACTCAATGGTTAAGAATCACTTTATTAAGTGTTATCAGATTTAAACTGACTGCATGATCAAAAGCTTCTCTTCCAGGAATTAAGGTGCTCAACAAACCCAATGTGTTATAATCACTTGGAGAATATGCGTGTGATGATTTACGAAGAGCGATTATGACAGGTTTCAAAACCTCGACGATTTTGGTCTCTTCAGCTACAACTCGAAAGGATGAGAAGATCACAGGTACTGTGAAAAAGAATGTTCAACTTCTATGAATCTTCGAATCAAATTTTAAATGGTTTATGAAGCCTGAGGATTTTCGGACTGACCATAGGGCCACAAGATCGTCACGAAGAAACCCCCGTTAAGTAACCATGCAGACTTGGGTGACATATACCTTGCTTTCTCTAATGGATGCTCTTCGAGGGGTTTCCATCTGACCAGGAGGCTATGAGAGATACAGATCCAGAGAAACACTGAATCATGACAGATGTCACCCAACATCAGTTGATGATCAATAGTCCTAGAAAACATTCTTTTTTGAGACACCCTCAGATATAGAACTTACTCCTTCAAAAATGAAGAAATCCATCAGTCTTTCATCAAAATGGAATGATTTCTTTGAGATAAATTCTCTTACCATGAAAGGGTAAGCGAAACGAGAGACTTGGTGCAATCTATGAAGTCAGAAGGTATCGGGCTTGTGTAGCCACTAAGTGATAGATCTCTCCAGATCAGATTAATTATCGACACTTCATTTCAACAGAAGAATACAGGTCAGTTACATGACCTCCTGGAGAGTCAAAGAATGTAAAAGAGCAGATCGTTGGACTGACGAGTGCTATATAGAAGGTAACCGGCGGTCAGGTGATTTGCGGTGTCTATCTTAATCAGGTTCACTGATCTCTCGACCCAAATATGAGTATCTTATCGTGACATGGATATGAATGGAAGGGTGAACATTAAAAAAACAATTCAAGTTGAGTGCGTACATGTATTGAAACCAATGATGTCGAATTTCCTCGTCTTGATTCGGATGTAAAGCGGGCGGGCAGTTTGAAAAAACATCCTTTCGAAAAGAGTCGGATATGAGAGACCTTATCAATCTTTGTTATCCACCTTTTCCATCCTCTGTGAAAACCAAAATATCATCCAACATCCAATCGAATGCATGACTCACAACACATAAGAAAGCAACACGAGTCGTATTAGCCACCTGGACCAAATGGGCAATGTACTGCATGGCTACCCACGCGAATAAAGACCAAAAAGAACACAGGAAAGATTTCTCGAGATCAGTAAGCTGGAAAAAATTGATCAAATGATCAATGAAGAACGTATGACATACTCGAGAAACACTTTCGAGGTAATCGGCCGTTGCTGAATACGGATTTGTGGTTGGCGGTAGACTGAGAACAAACTTGATCACACTGGTTTCATCAGGGCGTATCATTCTCGAAGTTGAGTGAAAAAGGAGTGATCAAAGTTGAATAATCAAAGGTTCTAGTGCTATATGAAAGGCTCTATCCAGGTGCGTGAGTTGTGATCTTCAGGAAAACATATTCAGTGTTCTAGCTTCGAAAAGCACCATGGGAATCAAGTGTTCCAAAGCCACATTGAAGATACCCAGTTAACGAAGCGCGATCTCTTCTGGAATCTGAACCCATGGCACAGCGTCAGTTCTCCGCCCAAACGTACATTTACACCACCGCGGGGGTGCCAAGCAGGTGATTCGAAGTGTTGGGATCATGTAAATCCGCTGAACTATAGCATAGATTTAGAGAGAAATTCTCGCTGGTTTCTTATGTGATCCCCTTGACTAGGGCATCTCAAGTTGAGGTTTTTTGACTTTTGTTTCACACTTGGACCCTGTTCGTATTTTTCATTTACTAGCTTCAAGTGATCGAATCGAACAAAGGGTTTTGTCCTCTGAGCTTAGGTAACTAACAGCGGCTCGTGCTCTGCTTGGGCAGAGGCTCAAAGAAATCGCCCAAAAAGGACTATTCTAACCCATGATATCTTTGTTGAGACTGAACGTGAGTTATGTCATTTCCTGGTTCCCTACAGTACGGTTTGTAGCATAATAGGGGAGATGTATTATGGATCAGTTGATCATCGAGGTGTGTGATTTGCGGAGAGTCGGATCATAGAAGTCGGATTTTATGGGAGAAGTGAGGTACAGAGGGATTTGGGGTGCGAGCGGAAAAAGAACCAAACTCATCAGAGTCCCACGCGGTCGCTCGCGACCGAGCCCCAGCGAGGACTCAGGACAACGAAGGCTCTCCTGGCCTGTGAGGGTCAAGCCTTCCATATCTCTTACTTTCTTTCAGACTCAATAGGGAGCTATTAACCTTAGTTAATTTGTGATTAACTATGGGTTGTCATTTATTAGAACTTCTAATAATTTTTAGTCAATTATTTCGTATCTTCTTTGATACACTTATTTCTTTCTTTATTTCTTTACTACAGTGTTGCTAAGTGTACGCTTGTATACTCTACAAGTGTTTGGGTGAGGGGGTCTTCCTAACTCTACGAAGTGCAAATACAGGCTTTTATTGAAGAAGCCGCGTAGGGCAGCTGATAGATACCTAACTATTTGCAACAAGGGGTTAGGGAGTCCCGACACCTAGACGAGACTACAGGATAAATAGGAAGAGCATGAAGTGAGGGGTTAGTGATCTACCCAAAACTCGGATTTATCAATAAGCCTGAGCCAGAGCTAAACCCACACTTATGATCAATCTGTTCCATTTCTGCTTCGACGTGTAGCATTTTTATTATTGAAACTGTTTTCCTTCTATCATCGTCTGAATAATCTCTCAAGTATAGCTTGTAACAGTCTGAGGTCCAGCGTCCCAGGCATTTGATGTCTTCTTTCGAAACGCCCAGATTCAATCTTAGAGAAGCACCTCCTACCCGAAATGAGTGGCCTGAAATTGAATTCCAGCCGTGTGCTTTCCATATCTGTTGACATCTATTTACAACGACACTTCTGGTCAGGTTGAAGCGATTTCCTTTCTCGTCGCGATAACCAAATAGGGCCTCTTGTGGGTCTCTTATAAGTTCCAGTCGTCGTAGTACGGCTTTGACTGGGCAAAGGCGGTTCTGTTGTGCGTTTAGAAGTATGTTTTGGTGTTCGCCGTGTTGCGCTGTTTTTGCGCCTCTGACGACTAGTATGATGTTAGATAATCCATTGCGCGGTTGGGTGGCATCTTCAGCTAAAACTGATGTCGCCTTTGGCGGGAGTCCGTCTCGTTCTTCGTATGTCAACTCCGCCAATCTTGCCATTCCCCAGAATGCGCATAAGACACAGTCCAGAATAGCTTGATCTCTAGTCGATTGGTCTCGTAAGGCGTGATCTAGTGCCAACAGGTGATATATCATGACGGCTGGTTTCAGTTGTTTCTTTGGGGTCTCTGCATCTGCTTTCCCTGATGCTCGTAACATTATTTTCACGATTTCCTTCGACTGATGTGGGTATTTAACTTTGTGGAATAAATGCCACGCCTGTAGTCCGCTGATGTATTTCGCGATTGTCTTAGCTAGTACCGCGTCCTTTGAATCATTTACTTCGGTTCGTCCTACGCTTAAGCAAAAATCGTATATATCATCTGGTGAAGCGGGTAGCTTGAACGGTTTCTTCTTCTCTCTTTCGTAGAACTGGATGAATTTCTTCACGGCACTGTTGTAGCTATGTAGTGTATTTGGTCTCCATCCTCTTAATAGGTGTGCTTGTAGTGTCGATAACTTTTCTTGATCGGATCCAGATAAGAACTCTTGAATATGGAGTTTCTCTTCTAAAGACTTCATCGGTTCTTGGATGGTAATGCTTTTAACAGGAGATGTTAATCGATAGGTTTCTAGGAGTTACTTCGAGACAGAACATTTCACAATTGATCTCTTTACCTCTATTTGTAGATGTTCTTATAACTTCCCACAAAACTCACTTGGGGGCTTTTGGCTCTATTCTATCGCGACTATTTCTCACGGTTAAGTCTCTCATGCTTTTTAATGTATCAATTTCATTGCTCTACATTTGCGGTACTCAAAGCTACATATGTACGCGTACATAGTTTGCGTACATAGTTTTTTTTGGCGGGGAAAAAAACAAAAGAAGTATATTCGAAGTATTTCGCCCGCCAAAAAAAAACTATGTACGGCAACTATGTACGCGTACATAGTTGCTTTGAGTACCGTAATTATGTTACCTAGCTTGACAAGTTTATATTCTCATCTTACTTCAAGGATCATACATAGTATCCGCTCTCTCTCAACGGCCTGGTGGTAGACAACCCTTCTCGATAGTTGATGACTTTGTCCTATATCTTTTTGTTTGAAGTGTTCGTCACAAGAGATGGATATTATAAGTTTCGGATCATCAGTGTCTTATCTACTGTATTTACCCGATATTTGGATATTAACTTACTGTGTTATTTCCATGAACTTGGACAGGTCTTCTGGAAGGTGGAATTGTATCCTATTTCCTTCCTGATGCTCAGTTTTTATTCCCCTTGATAATTTATCTGCGTCGTTTTCGTCTGATACAACTCGTAGAGGATTTATATCTATCTGATGTGAGATTAGTAGGTTTTGGATTATTTTCCATTCTTCGTTAACACTTCTATCTCTTGATTTCCGTTTCCTTAATGTATCTTCACATGTTGTATTGTCTGTCCATACGTTTAGACGTTGTCCGCGTGGCCATTTCATTTCAATTAACATTAAAGTGCCTAACCTTATAGCCACTGTTTCAAGCCAAGCTATGCCTCTCTTAATAGGTGATAACGCTTCCCAACCTTCTTTTAACTTGTACTGACACCATTTTTCACCAATTAGTACAGCTATTCCGAAGGAAGTAGACGCGTCCCCTACCCAATTAATTTCGATTGGGTTCGTTACTGGGATAAGTCTGAGGTTTTTAAATGAGTCTAGTGTATCTTTCCAAAACAATAGATCTTCTTTGACGTCTTCCGGTAATTTCTGTTTTGCGAATCTATGTACCCAAGCCGCTTTCCATCTGTGTAGGCTATTCAGGTAACATTTCAGCTGGGGTAATACGTATGACACGTGTGTCAATCTGCCTGTTATCACTTCTACTTGGTCGAATGAGAACGTTGTTCCTGATAAGAATTCTTGTACTTGTTCCTTCCTTTGAATTAGCTTTTCTTCTGGAAGGCGTACGGTCTTCTCTATTCCATTCCATACAAAACCGATGAACTTTTGTTCGTGTGCGAAATTTGAGCACTTCGTTGTATTCGTTAATACACCTAATTCTTGTGATCGTTTCACGATGTCGTCCATATTTGTTGATGACATGAGCCTTTTCACGAAAAGGTTATCATCAACCCATCTAAACACTGTAAATAAATCAAATTCTGCTATCATGATCTTTTTCCATGCATCTTCAGGTCTGCCAAAGGAGCCACATCCTGCAACCCCGCCAAAAGTTATCCTAGTGTCTACATAAATTTTGTTGTCTAAATCTAGTACTAATAAATAAGGCCATTGTGACATCAAAGTTGGGATCTGGCGATACGCCTTTTCCCAATCAAAGATAGCTAATAACCACTTCTCATTTGAAGACCTGAAAAATGCTGCTACGATTTTGAAATCGTCCCAAGTGGTCTCAAACTTCTTCGCGTCTACGAAAGAGTTTACAGAAGGTAAATTCGGGTTGTTCTTCGGGAATGATAAATCGTTTATGGGTCGTAGAGAGCCATCTCCGTTTATCACAGCCCCCATGGGGCTCGTCCTAAAGAACGGGTACATCGTTGACATTTGTTCTCGAGTAAAAGGTCCAATAAGCCTTTTCGCTTTCACTTCTTTCAGTATCGATTGTCGTATTTTCTCTTCTGCCAATCGAGCTGATGAATGATTAGGTGGTGTATAAAAAGGGAGTACTTTCCCTGTTTCGTGATCCCTAATAACGTGATCCGGGATACCCTGATCGAAGCCATGCTTAAACCCATCTAAGACGTCTTGAAACTCTGGTAGTAACCTTGCGTTATTTAATGCCTTTTCCCATGCTGGAATGTTCATTTCGCACTGGACTTTTGTTGGCCAATTTCTCGGTTTTTCGCCTTTCTTGACTATCATCGCTCTATCTTGATCATTACTCAAGGGCCTTTTCTGATTTCTTAATCTTGTTTCGTTCTTGTCAGCCAGATTCTCAATCACTCTGTCGTTTTCTCTCTTCTCTCGGTTAACATGGTCTCCTTGTCTCAATTTGTTTATGTGACAACTTGAGTTTCTGCATTGCGGATCAAGGGAGTGTAGAAGAAAAAGGAAAATTCATATACAGTAAGAATCAATTCAATTATAATTTGAAAGGTTTGGAAGGACGAGAAAAACATGTTTTGAAGCGTTACATGTAGCATTTGGATCAACATTGTTTTATTTCCTCTTTAAGGAGTGTATAGAAAGTGTACGATTATCACAAGAATTTTTAGAAAAACAACATATCCACAGGAAATGTAAATGTTTGGGAGTTGGAAGAGATCAGAAATAGTCCCTTACCCGGAGTTACCATTCTGCGCTTGTTTAGCAGCAGCTAATGCATCTTTCTTTGCGGCGTAGTTTGGATCAAAGTTTCGTCCGTTATAACCGCTTCTTCCTCTACCGTTATGATGACTATTTTCATGACGATTGCTAGGCCTTCTGTGATTATTACTGGTACTACCGTGAGGGTTCTGATGATAGTTTGAAGACTGATTGTCGTTTACAGGCCCATTGTTTGAATGGAAGGAATTCAAATTGTTATGATTCAGAGAGGAGTTGTTCTGGTTGTATGAATGAGAATTAATGTTGTGAGATGAAGAATTGTTCGAGGATCTTGGTAAACCAGTTGTCCAATCAAATCCGAAACGCGCTCCACCTTTCGCGTAAGGGTTGTCTGTGAAGGATCCTTCATCTAGGCGTCTTGACTCAGCAAAACATAGCGCTGCAACGTCGTCTCTTCGTTGAGATATGTCAGGTGGTGCTGTTTTCCCGTTTTCGGAAACTCTGAAAGCGAAAGCGTTCATTCTGATCTTGATATCGTACCGGAAAGCCGTCATCCAATTGTCTCTAGCGTGATAGAACTCGACATTTGCTTGGTGAGCTTCCGCCCAAGACGCGAACAACTTGAACTTATAGACATCTCGAAGAGTGGTGACGAAGTTACGATAGTTTACATTCCACATTGAGTAGGATTGGGTCATCTCGTGTGGGTATGGGTATCCTGTGTAAGTCGTTGTGTCTTTGTTGATGTTATCGGTTTTGACTCTTTTCTCAACATGATACCCGTTGGCTAGATCTTGCCAATGTTTGTTAAAGATCGTTAGGGGGATTGGGCCTTTCAGTTCACGTAAGTTTCGGTCGAAGTACGGAGTGAAGCCGATGTCGGTGTGTGAAGTTATTGCTCCGGGAATGAAGGTTATTCCTCCTTCAGTTACCACTTCTGCATTTGATTCGGACAGTGTGCTGCTTGGATGGTCTTCTAGATCCTTAATCTTCTTATTCGATTTACATGACAACGTGGCGTGGATTTTGAAATACATCGTTGCTTCTTCAATAGAACCTTCAGCTGCCAATGATAAGGCGTGCTTCCAGACTGAACCACTGTCGTTTAAATCCACCTCATCTACTAGGTCAATCGATTTCGACGCTTCGCATTCTACACTTGTCGACTTCCGGGTGACTTGATCATGATCTAATATTTATTTAAAGTCGTAAGTTAGTTTAAACTTGTCATTACCGTTACATTTCTTTGTGTAAACTCACTGTTCAATGCATTGGATGGCTTTCCGGATAGTATGGATATGTAGTCTTCACCGATGATTTCCGGTGCTTTGCCTTTCGATAGGGCTATTGACTTTGATTGACTATCGGGTCTAGATGTTGTTACGTTCTTTCTCGGGCTCTTGGACAAGCTTGTCGTTTGTTGTGTATTGTCATCTCGTCGCTCGGACGTCTGTTCTAACTGATTCGCATTCGACTTATCTACAGATGGTGCGTCGATGCTTTGGTCTTCTGTTGTACAATCATTTTATTAGAATTGTTTCGGTTCCTTTAGTTTATATGATTATCATCATTACATTAGGTTGAGACATACTCGCTCACCTCTTTGTGAATTATCCTGTTGTTTTAGGCCGCTAGTTAATATACTAGTTACTAGGCTACTTTCACCAGCTTCTATATTGTTTGCTGTGTTAATGGTATTGGAGTTCTCTTTGCTAATAGGAGCGTTTGCTTTCCGAGATCTCGATGAAGAGGTGGTTTTATCTGTCATTGCGTTGAAGCTTTTAGATGATTACTCTTTTATTCGGGGTAATAAAGGTGCGATGATTGTATTGGGTTACTAGGGGTTACTTCGAGGAAGTTGAACGAGGTACGTGTAATAGCGATGAAGATGCAAGATAACGTAGGAAAGAAGAGAAATAAAGGGAAGATGGATAAGGTGTTGTAAGGCGCCAAGGAAGTTTGAACAGGACGGAAGAATGAATGTTGGGACGCTAAATTATGGGTTAACTATGTTTATTGAAAATTTAAATTACAGATCTGGAGTAAAACTTGTTTGTTTCTTGTATTTTCAGTTTACTACTGATGCTGTTATAAGTCTTGGATTTTGTTTCTTTGGAGTTTTTCGATTTGTTGTTACTCTTTTATTCCGGAAAATTTGAGAAAAATTTAAAAATTGAAATTTAAGACTTGAGTCTGTCGAGACTATTGGTAGTAGTCTCAGGAGAAAAGAGGAATCAAGAAAACGGGAGCGCGCGAAGGGAAGGAAGGACAAAAGGTTGTAGGTAACCATTCCCTTCTTATAACGCTCCTTGGTAGGAATTCTCTTCAGCTGAGATTTCTGCTCGAGATTTTATGTAAACAGACGGGCTTACATAATCTTAGGAACTCTACAAGTTCCTCTTCGAGTTCTTATTTCCCTTTTGGGAAGGAACTTCGCGAATTCCTAAACTGTATTCTTGACATCCGTGAGTATGGACAAGAGCAATCTCCTTGCGTGCCTCATACGATTACGCCGCATTTTAGAGGATTTCGTCTCGTACCAAATTTTTGTAATTTGTCACGTGACCCCCTCCGTGACTGCGCAAGTAGTCATCCAACCTATTCTCCTAATCAATTTTCCGCAAAACAACCTCACTTTCTCTGGGAGCACCAGAGGATTGCCGGAGATTGGGAATGGGATGGGATTGGGATTGGGTACTGTACAAATGAATTGACGTACAGAATATACCCAACACCCAATCCGGCAAGGCTACTGTCTTGATAATTCCAGCTAGCGCTCTAGTCTACTAGCTCAAACACATCCCAAAACGCGTCAGAAATTTTTGAAAAACTGCATTAACAACCATGTAGAGAAGTGACAAGTCGTACTGGAAGGCTGTCTTCAAGGAATCGATGAGGCCTCCTATCACTTCGAAGTCCGAGACCTTCTGCGTTGCGATTGACCAGGTCAGATGCGAGCGATAAGAACTGAGCAAGGTCCTCGATGTGAAGAGTTTGGAAAAGTGAAGGGTTTTCGGTTCGGAGGTTGTGTATAAAGGTCGTGAAAAGCATGATAAGTGATGGCAAGATTGGAGGAAGAATTAGTGATAGCAATGTTGGGATTTAGTGAAAGACACTTTCCAACCATTGCTTCGTTCTTATTTACATTGTGCGCTCAATGAGGCCTTGCATCTCATTGCCGAGATGCAAGGCCTCTACAATGCCTTGGGCTAGGCATATCACAAGTTAATCGTGCCGGTCGACAGTGGATTGCTCAGCTACGCCTGACATGCATACAGGCGATCAACTTGCGATACGTATGTATTTCATCTTTCCCTGAGCAGCATGGCTGCACCAGATGGCTCAGCTGGGCCAGGCTATGCTATCAACTGGGTCGTATATTCATCGGATTGGTTTCCATGACTGGGTCGGTCAATCATGCTGGTATCTTATTCATCGTTGATAGAGAGTAAGTTTTGATCAATACATTTCAGTATTATTTTTTTGGTGAAGAATTGGCTTATTTACAAAATGAAATCATTTGAAGAAAGAACTCATAAGACCTTCATAGGATGTTGTGATCTACTCACAGGAGAAAGTAACGATCGGTCATCATTGAAAATTGAGATAGTCATATGTTGCGCACTGCATCACTGCACTCAAAAAGCATTAAAAAGATGAACAAAGTACAGTTTCAATTTGTTTCAATGAATGCAGGCCGATGGGAAGAATGTTTACGAAGAAGTCAACCTCTGGACTGAAACGTGGCAATGAGTACAGGGTCGTACAGGCCATTCCCATTCCCGCGAATCCCAACCTCCGGCAGTCCTCCAATTCTCTGCTTTCTCTCACTTTCTCTCGATTCTTTCATCAATTCTCTCTATCTTCCCCCTCCTGTCGCGATCCCCGATGGACAAAGGACCTCCGGACCCTGATATTCAGGATGTCTCGATTGCTCGGGACAATGTGTCGACCTATGATGACGCGATGGATGCGTTGGTCGCGTCTGACCTGACGGGTGAAAGGATGATGACCACCCCCAAAACACGTCCGACGACTCCCAGGACCATCAACAAACCTATCGATAAGGTCTCCCTCCCCTCCCAAGCCCTCATCGGTCCCGCATCAAGCACCCCAGCTCTGCTGGAAGGCTTGAGGAAACGACACCAACAAAGGGCACCGTCACCGAACCCTCTTGAAGAGACAGAGGAACTCACAGGAACCCCTCGATCGACTCGGATCACTAGGTTGTTTCCAGGAGGCTCTAGTGCCTCGACTAAACACCTTGGAGTTTTGATCCAAAAGTTGCTCGATGTATCAAGAGCAACTTTGCTTCCCAAATCGAAACGAGCCAAAACGGTCAGCGTAGATGTTGAATCTGCCGCCGACATCCTCGTGCTCACTGGGTTGATCCAGGAGCAAGCCAGCCGCAATGAGGCTCGACGAGTGGCATTCGATCCGCTTCGTCAGACAGCCCCCGCTCCCTCCCCCTCCTCTCTTGTTCCAGAAGCTCAATTTGAGTTCCAAAACGAAACGTGGTCAGCCAAACTGGACGCACTCACCGAACAAGTGGCCAAGCTGGCATCTGTGGTTCTACCAAGCCAGAACCAACCGCCGCAACAACAGCAGCCAGGCCAAGCAAAGAGCTCATATGCCTTGGCTGCTTCAAAACACGCATCAGAGGGATCCCAACGCCCTAACCAACAGAGTCAGCCGAGCTTTCGTGCTCAACCAAAACAAAACGTGCGATCAAAGTCTGAAGCTTTGATCACACTCACTCAACAAGATCCGAAAAACATATCAGGTGCAGGAAAAACAATTCCTGAGCTTATCAGAAGCCTTAACGCGGTTCTGAAAGAACAAAATATAAAAGTCACTACGGAAAACACGTCCACCATCATGGTCAGGAATATCCACCGTCACCCGTCGAATGACCTGGTGATCTATCTGGATTCCCAAAAACAGGTCCAGGCGTTACGTGGTCAAGTAACGTGCTGGTTACCTAAAGTTTCACCGAACCTAGCTTTGAAGCAGGAGGTGCACTCCATAATTGTACATGGCATACCTACCACGTTCAACCCTACTCGCCCAGAAGATATTGATCTTCTCAAGATCTGCAACGGCGATCTCCTTGATAACGCCCTCTTCGTGAGGTGGTTAAAGAAAGATACGGCTGATGACACAGCAAAGCGGCATTCCTCCTTGCTAATAGGGTTCAAGATGCTAAATGAGGCCACCCTAGCAGCACGCACAAAAGTGTGGCAAGGGAGAGGACGTCACCGAACAGAGCTCAGTGGACCTCCTCCCACCCGGTGCTTTAATTGCCAAGGTGTGGGTCACACAGCGGCAGCATGTAAAATAGCTCCTATGTGCCCGTTTTGCTCTGGAGAACATCATTCTCACAATTGTCCTGTGAAAGGTTCTTCTGCTATGAAATGCATTGCCTGTGCACGCGGCAAATTGAAAGCAGACCCAAGCTCCAACTTGCCACGCCTCTTCAAGGAAGATCACGCTGATTTTCTCCATCACCCATTTGCCCCCACATGCCCGGTGAGAATCACTAGTCAATTCCCACCTCACAATCCCAGCTCCTCGCCATATATCAAAGTGGTAGCCCAAGCTAATTCATCTCAAACTCAATGTTAGAGAATCAGCTTAAGGAGAAACTCAATATTAACAATTCAGCAGGCGTTCTTCAGTTGAACTGCAAGCATTCCAAATATGTCACACACTCACTTTTCAACTCAGAACTCACTTCACTTTTCTCAATCATTTCATTACAAGAACCTTACGTAAATCCCATTGACAACCTACCACTCAATCTTGCTAATTGGTCCCTCATATGTCCTACCCCGCGCTCCCTAACAGAGGTGGACAGACCAAGGGCTTGTTTATATGTCAAGCAAGCCTTAAATCCCATCATCAATCCAATATTCTCGCCGTCTAGAAATCTAGCGGCGGGTACTGTAACCATTAGCGGCTACACCTTCCTAGTAGCCAGTGTATATAACCCCCAAAACACGCTTGAAGGTTTCGAAGCGTTCACTGAACTGCTTCAAACCGCTCCCTTAGCCACTCAACTCCTTCCAACAATCTGTACCACTGACGCCAATCTTCACTCACCCTTATGGAACCCAAGCCACAGTAAAGTCAATGATAAGAACTCCGACAAACTGATTGAAATGCTCACCGAATGGAGCCTCAGCCTACGGTCACCAAAAGGGATACCCACCTTTGGGGTACGATCGGCAAACACGGAGGGTACCTCCATTGACCAAGTTTGGGTCAACGAAGACTTCGACGACACCACAATCACCTGCTATATTGATGAAGACGACTTAGTTAGCCATCAATCCGACCATCAAGCAATCATCACTATTTTTTCCACGAAAGCGGGCGATGAAGACTTATCCAAATCACAATCAAAAGAGAAGAGAAATTGGAATAAGGTTGACAGTGCATTCCTAAAACATGAACTAACGACTTCCCTTCCTAAACTAATCCCATTAGTCACACGAGACGACATTGAAAAATTCGACGAATCTTTACGACAAGCCATTGTCGAAGGCTTAAACAACAACTCGCCAAAAAAGGCTACTTACGGTAAGCACAAGGCATGGTGGCGCCCCGACATACTGGATCCACTCCAACGAGAAGCTACAAGACTTCGCCGTGCAGCAAAAAAGGACCGCACCACCGACTCACAACAGGCCTACAAGAGGGCACGCAACGCCTTCAATCGTGCCATCGACAAAGCAAAGGAGGCTTCCTGGAGACAATTCCTATCGA